CCCCCTTTTTTTTTTTTGGTATGGTTTACCAGTGTTTCAGCTTTGCAACCAGCTATCCACCGGTTGCAATAGAAAGCTGTGGCCAATGAATGTATCTATTTGTTGTTCTTCAATAAGCTGTAACCAAGCACTACTCTGAAGAAATAATAATACCAATAACAATAAAATTTTCTGTGCTATTGTGGGAGTCTTGGCTGAACTTTGAGCCCTGCGTAACTTTCTGTTGGCCAATGGGAAGGTTAGAGTGTGTGTGTGTGTAGCTGGCTGGCTGGCTTGTCCACCTGCCTCTAGAAGCATGAGAGGATTTCAATGAAGAATCACTTCCCTTGGGCAATGCTGCAGAGCTTGGATGCAGCTGTTGTTGGTAATGAACTTGTTACTGCTCTGAAGTCTAAACCTGATAATCAAATCAAGTAGATTTGATTACAACCACCCTGTAGGGAGTTGAAGGCTGCTAAGAGGATGGAGCTGGACTGTTCTCAGTAGTGGCAGATGACAGGACAAGGAGCAATGGGCTCAAGTAGCAGCAAGGGAAGTTGAGGTTGGATATTAGAAAAAAAACTCTCTCACTAGGAGAGTGGTGAAGCACTGGAATAGGTTACCCAGAGAGGATGTGGACTCTCTATCCTTGGAGGTTAAGACCTGGACAGATGAAGCCTTGGCTGGGATGATCTAGTTGGGGCAGATCCTTTTTTGAGCAGGGGGGTTGAGCTAGCTGTGACCACCTGAAGTCCCTTCCAACCCTCCTTTTCAATGCTTCTATGAGATGTGTAAGTCTGCTCCAGTTGGATGAGTGCAACTTTTGTGAGCCTACAGTGCGTTACCTTCTTTGCTATCCAAATGGGGGTCTGGTTAAGGATTTCTGTGATATTTGAGGTAGGCACACCCTGTGGATGAAGGCATTTCATTCTCCCCTCCTACTCATGGATGCTACAGGATCAGCAGCTCTGGTTCCTGAGTACTGATTACCAGGAGCAGTCACTGCTCATGTGTCTGGAGTACCAAGACAAAGGGCAACGTACTCATCTTCCAGAGGAGGAAGCCTACGCTCCCTCCCTGATATGTGCTTCTAGTCACACTCGCCCTGTTCTATTGCCTCATGGGCTCTGAGTCAAGAAGTCTCCCCTTTCCCCAGCTCATGAGCATGTGAGGTGATCTCAGAGCAGCTGATGTGCTGGAGTTATTTAAAGGGGGGCTCAACATGATTCCTTCTTGAGCTGCCTAGCCTGGGGGAGAGTGAGCTTAAGAGGTTTTCATTTGAGGGTCACTTGCCCAATGCTGTTTACCCATCCAGCACTCTTGGCTTATGGAGCAGAGCCAAGCCTTTTATTTTTTTCTCATGAACCACTTTTCTAACCTATCCCTGCACTGAAGAGGGTGGGGAAGGAAAGTACATATAGACCATGCAGACAGGCTTATCCCCATGCAATGCCCAGCTGGGACCTGAGTGGGTGGGATGGCTGGATTACTTCTGTCGGCAGGAGATCTCAAGTGTCCTCCTTTCCCCCGATGCGCCTGTCCAGAGGACTCATGAAGAATGTTGGATAACTGGAGACAATGTGATGGTGCAGACCAGGAAGGGTGCACATGGCTGAGCCGGCCTGGACTAGACCAGAGATGGAAAAGGGGCTCTAGAAAGAGCTGGGAGGAGGGAGTAAAGGTTAAAACAGAGGCTTAGTGAGCAAGTGAACCCTCTTCCCCCACCATGGGATGCTTTACTCACTTTTTCCTGGCTGGTGCAACTACACTGCACTCTTGGAAAGTGTAGTGACCTAAGGCTGTATGACATGTACCTGCTCCTTAGTTGCTCTGGCTAAGGGCAGGTTAAGCTGTTGAGAAATGGTAGGGCTTACACCCAAGCATTGCTCTGAGCAGAGAGGCTGCCATATCAGGCAGGATGTCTGAAGCATGTTATGGAGGCAGCCTCCCCCTCTCCTTGTGACACAGCAACTCTGCACAAACCCGGAGAGGAGCTGGTGTTGGATCCTACAAGTAGATTGAAGAGGGCAGCTCCTCCAGTGTCCACGAAGCACAGCCCGGACAGAGGTAGAGCAAAGAAGGTGCTGCTTCTACCTGCCCATCCCTGCCTCTGCCTTTCCCATGGGAACCTTTTGCTAACAGGGACCATGATATTCAGCTGCAGTCACCCTCTGGTCAGGACTCTCATCCAGCAGCTGCTGATCGGCAGGCAGGCGATGCTGGATGTTGATGAGGACAATGAGGAAGGCTGCAATTCAGAGTCATTAATCGCACAAGCTTCATTCCCACTATTCTAGATCTAACCTTACAGGAGCTGCCCCCTGCTGCAGGTGAGGGAGTGATGGTAGCTATGTCATAAGGGGCTGTGTGAAATAACATGCAGTTGCTGGATGAGACATAAGGCCAGTCTGGGGGGCAGGACTCACCTGGAAGAGACAGCTGGCAGATGGAATTGGAGAAAAGGCTGGAGTCAGGAGGGCCATGAGAGAAGCAACTAGGGATCCCTTATTCATTGTGGCTCACGAGCCAAGAACAAGGGGCACCCATTGAAAGCATCAAGCATCTGATTTAAAACAAGCCAATGGAAGTATCTTTTTGTATGACACAATTAACACTGGGAGTCCATTGCTGGAGAACACTATGGAGGCTGTTAGTGTAATCAGGATCAGAAAGAGATTAGGCAAGTGGATGGAGGATAAGTCTTGGGGACATTTACCCACAACAGCCAGGAATGGAGCTGCAGACACAGGACATCTGTCAGCCTACGATTGCTGGGGGCAGGCACCCTCAGTTCCTTATGCTCTTCCAGTAAAGCATCCACTACCTGCCACTGTCAGACAGGCCACCCTGATGGATAAAACCTACGGCAGAATTAGCAGGTGACATGTCTGTCCTCACCGAGGCTAATTTGTACAGAGCCATGCTTGATCTGCCTACGAGCATCAGAGTCAGCACACTGCATCTGGACAGGGCTGACAGCAGTGGAATCAGCCTACGTGCACAAAGGTACACGCGGATGTTTGGGGAGGAGATTGTGTTAAAAATGGGCACCCTGTCTAACTTAGCTTATCTGGGTGCAGACCTTACAGCTAGATCCCTAGTTAGGTGGACAATTAGACCTGTCTAAAAATGGCTGACCTGATGTAAGTTAAGCGTACGTCCGAGGCAGTCTGACTTGGATAGATAGGGTCTGGCAAGACCAATCCAACTAAACTTCCATGTGGTTCCAGCCCAGCTGCTGCACCCAGCCCTGGAACTGTATTTTTCCTACTTCCCTTTGGCACCAGGCTATTTATCCCCCTGGCCTGTCACCCGACTCCCAGATCTGCCCCCCATCCACAGACCAGCTAGGCCCTCCCCACTAGCCTGCCAAGCCCTGCATCCTGCTCTCATGCCAGAAACCAAGGAAGGAAGTTGGGTGGATAGGCAGAATTGGTTGTCTGGGGGGCAGGGAGGGTCAGATCTCACCATCCCCTCCCCCTGTGAACCCTGTTTGCCCTCCCAAATCCCCCCCCCCCCCCCAGTCTGTACATACCCCAAGCCATCAGTTTAATGTAAATTCATTTTAAACCCATTTGAAATGGGGCATCTCTCTATAGGGGCTTTCATTTCAGTTTAGCTTCAAACCAGTGCTTACCTGGCTGATACTAAAGCAGCGATTGATTTATAATAATACTTTATCAATATCGGATGTAGCTGCAGAGCATCAGGCCCACAGGGCCCCAGGGATCTGCACAAGTTATATGCACACACATGAATCCCCCTGCCCAACCTTTTTGGGTGTAAGGGTGATGTGTGCCACCAATTTTAATCCAGGAAAAAGTGTGCCTCAGGTACCAAAAGTCTGAGAAATGCTACGTTAAATTGAAACGGACACATCTACAAAAGGGCTTGCACAGGCTGCAGGAAACTGGTGAGAGAGTTGCACCTTTAGCAAAATTGGTGCAGAGCAACCTGGGATTAGGCACAACTGCATGCCCCTCCCAGTGCCAGCCACGGGGTAGAGCTGTATCCTGAAAACTAGGTGGTAGCCTGTGCCAGGATGACGGCACTGAACCACATAAAAAAATATCTGATCTAAGTGCGCTTCACACCATTTCATACGTTACTTTTAAAACATCTTAAAAATGGCAACGTCTGGGAGAAGCTAGTGAACAAAGGCAGAGGAGGACGGCTGACTAAAGAAAAAGCAACAGTCTAGTGAGTTGCTGTAGTTGTATTTTGTGTTCCTGAATTTATTTGATGTCACAGTTTCACTTACACCTTCTATTTCCACAGGCAAATAGACTCTTTTTTACCCCTGGAAAGACAGTAGCATGCAGACAGACTATTATTCTAATAACCCTCAAAATCTAAAACCTGATCCTTATATTTTCCACACACATTATTCCTTATTTCCACCCCCTCCCTGCCCCACCTTTAAAAAAAATAGATTTTTCTTTTCATACAAAACATTTGGCCTCAGTAACTTGATGACACAATCATTTTGTAAAATGAAGGCTTCTCCTAGTGGTCTTTCCCTTTTTTGGCTGCCTGAAGCATGAAGAATACCAGGCTGTTATGCTGTTTTCTAGAAAATGAGCATAAAATTGAAGTTTAAGTCTTTCTCTCCCTCTGCAACAGATTCACGGCACAGTTCGTAACAAGGTCTTGAAGTTCTCCAGCTCTCTAACGCTTGTTGAAATCCTGTATGCAAACAGAAGGAAGGAAAAGATACAGTTAAAGCCATGACAAATACCACCTTGTATTTTTATATAAATACAGAGCTCGGGAGCTAAACATTTTACATGGTAAACAATGAACTTCTGACCTCCCCGGCTTTGCTGAATTGTTTTAGAGCAAGCAAATACACAGGAGTGAGGGCAGCAGAATAGGACATGGGACCCTTTATAAACAGTTCATTTTAGCTATAGTCAAAAGTCCCCGTTACATAGAGGTTAAGAAGTCACGTGCAAGTATTGAAACAGCTGCTGAAGCAGACTCTCAAAGCAACTATGGAACAACCTTATGCTTATTGCAAAAGATTTCATCATTTTATTGCCAAATGCATTTTGCTAGTGGAGCCCTAGCATCAAACACTAATGCCAAGGCTCTGAGCAGGCTTCATGTATTTGCTGTATTCTCTTATTACCACACGCCCCCAAGGACACGCATCTTGTGTTTTGGAAGGCAGAACATGGGGGGTGGGAAAGGATTTTTCCCCGGAGTCACGGCCTGGAGCTAGCTTTTTCCTAGAGAGGTTATGCTACAAAAGCGCTGCCTCCTCTCTGGGCCAGCAAGCAGGCAATTTGTTAGCAGCTGTGAAAGTATTAACACTGGACTCTGCCCCTGCTTGCTTGTTCGCCCAGAGAGAAGGGAGGCTATTCTGCAACACAGCTTCTCCATGCTTCTATTCCAGTGACGATAATAAAATCTTGGTGGAGGAAGGAGGAAAGGAGCCTCCGTGTCATTACCCAGCCTCTTTGGAAGAGGTGCTCCTGTGACGTATGGGGCACTCCAGCAGTGACAGCGAGGCAGCGCCTTCCAAAGCAAATGCATGGCTGCGATGCTTTGCAGGGAGAGCTGCTCAGCAGTTCTGTACGCTCCCTCTCAGCCGAAACAGCACTGCTGGGAGCGTTTATTTTGCAGACAGGGCTGATTTTTCGTGGACATGTTTCGCCCCCGTTATCAGCCAGCAATTCGTATTTCAGAGGATAACAAAATCAGTGCCTTGATTGGTCACTGATTTAGATACAGCCAGGACCACTGCACTTCAGAAGTTAGGAACAATTTAAAATCCCACCGGAAACCTGCTAACCTGGCCCTCCAGACTAGACCACGCAAGAAGGCAAAGGATGAAACCAAAAGGCCTTTTGATAAATCTCACTCTACTGAATTCTTCGTTACAGACGAATGCTTCCCCACGGCCTCAGAGCTGAACTGACGGCTGCCTCTTAGGTATCATTTTTGCAAAGAGGTGCTTCAAAAGCAACCTGGTGCTCAAAGGCTGGCATCCAAACTAAGTGCAGGAGTGGGAACAGCAACGACCTCTGCTGGGAGACAGTGGGCTCCTAAAATGGCACAAGTAATTTCTTGCACACTTCTGAGTCCTTCCTGCTTGAGCCGCGAGTGTTGACTGTAACCCCTCAGAGAAGTGGAATACAACAAAGTCAGTGCTCCAAAACTCACGCAGGGCCACAAGACGCTTGTTCAGAGCTTAGCAGCGTCACTAGCAAACGCTCTGAATGCAAAGACTTAGTGCTGGAGCTGCTGAGAAGGTGCTTTGGGCACAGACGGATTTGCTTATTAGCTACAAGACAAGGGGACAGGGAGCAGCTGCTCAGGAACCCATATCAGCTGTTACCTCGGCATGATCCGTCGCAGTACAAGGGAGCTAAATCCCCTTGCCTTTGACCTTGAATGAAGCCAGGTTGAAGCTGGATGGCGTTTACTACATTCGTGTTGCGACAGAATCACGCAGACTCGCCAGCTACCCCCTAACAGCTTAGGCAGACATCGTCTGATCTCAATGCAATCTTTACATCTGCCTAGACCCTTAGTTTTACAGCGTGCTGCTACCTTGTATTGTCTTCGTACTGGAAAAAATAAACGCACAAAGTCTCCCACCAACCTTCCGAACGCGTTCATCAAGGCGACGATCTCCTGCCTCGTTAGCTGGAATGCCTGGGAGGGGCTGCTCTCAGACATCTTCTCTATCAGCTTTTCTGAAAACAGGATCTTCAGGGCAGTGCCCAAGCCCTGAGTCTGTGCAGGACAAGAAACAGGCCATTGAGCATCTGACCAGCGAGTTCACCTTCCTTTCCCTTCATTTGATTTGTATGGATTCCTATTGCATTAATATCACCTCAATCAAATGGGCTTTGTGTCAAATGCTGCTAAGAGCAGCAACAAGGGAAACCCATCAAAAGGAAAACCAAACCAGTGCCTTTATCACTGTTTATATCATGGTAGTATCCAGAAGCCTTGGCCAAGCCAGGACCCCTGTACAAAACCAGAGCAAAAGCATGATCCTTACGCCAGACAACTTCTAATACTTACCTGGAGCTTGCCCCAAAGACGACATTTAAAACAACCGACACAGTCCATAATCCTTGAAATATTCCGGAAATGGAACCTAAATTCCTCCTGGGGGGGGAAAGAAAGAGGGTTTTGTTTTCCCAAGCCCACCACCGTAGTGCAGGTACAATGCAAGACCTCAATACGAGAAGCCTGCTCAGAGCCCTTGATTGATGCATTCAGAAAAAAAATCAGTACATTACTACCCTGAGATGACATACTCACAGGCTTGGGAAAACTGTGGACACAGGCTCGCTTGCTTGCGTTAAACTGCCCGAAGCATTTGGAAAACTAATGAATACGTTGACCCCAACTCAGAATTTCTCCCCTGGTAACTGAAGCTCATCGACATATAATGTACTCTGCTTAAGTACCTGGCTCTGGGGTGTGGGAGTATGCACTTACAGTGCAAGCCACCACATTAGCTGCAGGAACAGCCTGCCCTAGGTTTTCCACACCTCATTAAAGCTCCTTACCTCATTTCTCAGAGGCCTAAACAACTTGACAGGCTCACATTAGTTCAGGGCTGCTTTAAAAGCCTTGCCATTGATGGCTCGTGGCCAGTCTCAGCAAGTAAGTAGTTAAATAGAAGAGTCACCTTAGGACAAGGTGAGGGGCAGAGGGTTCCTATTCACCAAAGTGGCTTATGCACCCTGCTGATATAACAAACACCAGGTGTCTGCCTAAGTAACAGGCAAAAAATTGGGACTGGCATCACATAAAGCAGGTAAGCAAATTATACACTCATCCCTTCTGCAGCAAAGGGTTTGAAACGCTTTGTTGTCTTCCAGATGTAGGAGGAGAGGGGGCAGAGGGACCATTACCTTCAGTTTGGCAGCTTCTCTTGCATTCCCAGCAAACAAGGAGTTTTCATCAAAGTGCAAAGGGAAAGATCTGAAACATGAATGAAGACAGGACTGAAGATGACATTTTTTTTAAATACCAAAATGACTTGGAGGCTCCTGAGTCACTTTAGAAAATGAGATTTAGACTCCCGAGTCCTTTGGGTGTTTTGGTACTTTACCCTGCGTCTTCTCTTAGTGTCCTTTCTGTCTCTTACAAGTATTGGGAATTCTCATAAGGACACTTTTGATGCAATAGATGGGAAGGTACCAGCATCTCCTTAACCACAGAGGCCAGGCATCGGAGACAGACAAGCATGTGTCACCTAGAGGACCAGCTTCTAATCAGAGCTAACTTCCATTGCCCACACAGGTGACCGATTAGAGCTGCCCATAACCAAGACATTCAAGACTGTTTTGAACTCATATAGAAACCTAAAGCTGGCATCCGAGAGCTCATTCAGACAGCTATAAGTTTGGGAGCTGACAACGAGGTAATTAATTAGACACACCTCTGCTAATTCTTTTTTTTTTTCTTTTCAGACTAAGATGTTAAACGGTGGAGCTAATTATCCTGTTTTGCATTTTGAGTTCAGGCGTCTGCATTTCCTAACAATACCATCCTACTAGCTTGACCCGTATTATCCCACTGAAAAAAAAAGCAACTTCTTTAAAAGGCTTCCAGCAAAGGAGGGGCTGTTTTCCTCACTGGTTACTGCTCCCTTTGCACCATTATTCCTTTTCCCCAGTGACTGACTGTATTTACTTGGTTAGGCGAAGAACTTGCAGCAGCAGGGCTTTGGTCTCCGCATCTCGGACTTGATTCCCTGTGAACAACTGGAAGCCGGGGCGCTCGAAGTATGGCAGAACTTTTGACAACGCCCGTAACTCGATCAGGTAGATGAAATACAGGTTCTTGAGTCTCCTGGGCCCTTCTCCTCGGGTCAGTATTTCATCGAACCTCTGCTGGAACTCGGTAACGTTGTGTCCCCATTTCTTCTCTGCCCACGTATCTGAGAGAAGGGGGAAAGCAGGTCTTTGAAAACATGATTTCAGCTCAGTGAAATTCTCCTTCGTGCAACACTACAAGCCACCGTGACTATGGCTTATTCTTAGAAATTAAGGTTTAAAACGCGCAGGCCCAATCTCACACAAAACTGCTCTAGCTGAAAGGATGGTGCCATTTTGCACCCAGCTGTCTCCCAAACCTGGTATGGACACTAAAATCAATTGAAACGCAGCTCATTTACAAATACAAGCTGCATTGCTATCGCCTGTTTTAAACTGGTTTAGGTGGATCATTGGAAACTTGCATCTATTTGTTTAAATCTGACTTCAAATGAGTTTCATTTAAACCAGCATTAGCTGGGGTGTTGGCAAGACCTCAGCCACGTGGAATGGATCAATTCCTTCTTCATCATGCAGCATTTGCTCCATTACTAATTGATGCCCCACGTTTCTTTCTTTCACTGTTGCTTCCCATTCGTTTACTACAAAAAAGATGGTATGATCCCCTGCTGAGGGTGAGCTTCCCTAGTACAGCGCATCAGGAGCAAATGCTGGGCCCAAAGCGCAGGTCAGCAGTTAATGAAACAATACCACGGCACAAAGGAGCGTCTGTGTCTATCTCAGGGAAGAGAGGCACAAACAAGCTACTGTGGGGTAAGAGAGGGGAGGGATTTACCCTGCAGCTGGTTTGGGGTAACTGCCCACGTGCACGCTTTTATTCTGAAACAAGTGGAAGCTGGGCAGAAGGCAGGGTAGATCTACACCTTGTAGACTAAATCAGAGATGCATACGCTTTCATAAGCAGCAGTTTATTTCATCCTGCAGTAGCTTAGCTCTCAGTGAAGGAGGGCTACATTTCCCCAGATTAATCCCACTTACTACGGGATAAAGGTATGTACATGGGCAGTCACCGTGGAGCAACTGAAACATGGTAAATCCACACTCCCTGTTACCCCAGAGTAAGTGGCTTGTGTGCCCATACCCCTAGAGAAAAAAGTAGCAGGACACTCCTGTGTGTGGTGGTATTGCTCATCATTTCACTTGTAACGGGCCACAGATCTGTGAAACGTGGCAACATGAAAGGGATGAGGATTAGCGATATTATATCTATGTCTATATAGATATAATATATCAGTTTCAAGCTCCTAAAAGATTATAATCAAGAAAAACTGCATAAAAAATACAAACGCAACAACAATAAGCGATGCATAACCACCCACCACCTGGTGGCTGGATCACCAATAGCATGGGATAAACAGCAATGGTATTCACGCAGGCTATAGAGAATTAAATGAGAGCCTCTTAAATAGGGACTATGCTAATCTTAAAGAATCCTGCAGACCAGTGCTTTTCAACCTTTTTTCCATTAGTGGACCCCTAAAAAATTTCTAAAGGAGGTGCGGATCCCTTTGAATTGTAAGTGTGGGTATTCACATACTTTTGATTGACCTTAGTCCTCTTTTGCAGATCCCATGGACATAAGCCCCCCAGGGGTCCGCAGACCACAGGCTGAAAATCACTGATGTACTAACATGAAGAGCTGTCAGGGCCTGTCCTGGCAGCGTATTACACGCCTTTCCAATCCAAGTCATTCAAATCATATTTTTCCCTGAATGTTATAGGCTATTAAGAAGTCGAACTGAAAATGTTGGTCTGGAGCCTCTTCAGTTTTTTTACAGAGTTTCTTTTTATTATAATCTTTTTAGGAGTTTGAAATTGTATATATATAAAATTATAAATAACGTATATATAAAATGTATATAATATTAAATTTTTGCTAATCTTCATTCTTTTCATGTTGCCGTATTTTGGAGCCTGTTGTCCCCCAGCAGAGATCGCTGGAGTTCAGATTCAGACACTTCATGGGAAATGATGTGCCAATCCCGGAGTGGGGGGGGACGACAAAAAAACGTTGCTGTAGCGGCACGCTCCCCGGTTATATGTCGCCGTAGCGGCACGCTAGTGGTGAAACCTAACCGCGCCACACACGGCAGTTACCACCCATACTGCACCACGCTTTAGTACTTCCAAAAGGAAGCTGGGAAGTACTAAAAGGAAGTACTAAAGCACGGCACCATAGCAACATCATCATATGACAACATGTAGATGCACCCGATTAAACCAAAAAATAAATAAATAATCATTTCCTGCTAAGGCATCTGGAAGCCCCGACCTCATGCTTCCCAGCTCCCCACACACCTGCGATCTGTGGCTAAGGGAGGAAAAATGATTAGAGGGAGAAACAGAAGAGCAAGGCTGGGCTCGAGGCTTGTCAGCCTGGGCTACCTGCTAGGATTGTGCCAGCCACTGAGGCCACTCCAGCCTGCTTTCACAGCAGCAGGGAAGGGAGGCAGGAAGTCACAGATTCACAGAAGTTTAGGGCTCACGAGATCGTTGGGTCCAGCCCCCTGCTCTGGGCAGGAAAGACTGCTGGGGTCAAATAACCCAGCAAGGTGTGCGTCCAGTCTCCTTTTGAAGATCCACAGGGTAGGTGCCTGCACCACCCCCACCGGGAGTCAGTTCCAGAGTGTGGTCCCACGAACCGTGAAGTTTTTCCTTCGATCCAGTCTATGGACAAAGTCACTCACCTTGCAGAAGGTACCGAGCAGACAGGTGGATATTGATGCTGGAGTGCAGGCCCGAGATGAGTTTGTAGAAGGCTCTTTTCTCCACACACACACCTGGAAGGGAAAAGGCACTGTTTAAAAAAAACAAAAATCAAGGAACATGGGTTGGAAATGTCCTTCCCCCATCACTAGAGAGAGAGACACAGAAGCATGTTTCTCTTTGCCAGCCACCACCCACCGACACAACAAGTCCAACCCCGCTACAGACCAAGCAGTCAAATCCATTACCTTTCAGCCACTTGTAAAAGGCATGCCCTGGAAAAGAACAAAAAAAATACCAAGCTGTCAGAAGTGCAATCACCTCGAGCACGGTATGAGCTTGTGGAAAGCTGTTCTCAGGGCACCACAGCCATGATGAAATCCAGTGCCGGGCTCAGAGGGTCCCACTGCCCCTCTGCTTGCTCCAGGCATTTCTTACAGCCCAGCCCTAGGTCCCGGGGTCACAGCAGGGTTGGTGCACAAGGCAGGGCCCTCACTTGCAAGCCACAGCTGCGGCCAGACTCCTGAGCTCGTGCGGGTCTGCAGAAGACTCTGCATAGGCACAAAGAGCCACCTGTGTCACTTGGATGGCAGGATCGGGGCCTGCGTACGTTTTGCAGGCGAGAGTGCAAAAGGGAGCAGAAGCCAGGAGCAGTGGCACAGCAGAAGCAGAATACCCAGTCCCGGAGGCAGAGGCTCGAGCCCTTTTTCCTTGCCGGGGGGAAGGAATATTCTTTCCCATTGTAAAAAAGAAATGGAGTCCCGGGGCCCTGCTGCTGCTGACGCAGTGTGGTGGGTGCTTTGGCCCCACTGGAAAACACAGCCCGACATGACTTAAAAGCAGCTGATAAGGACATTTGGCCAGACCCCAGGGCCATCTCACCCCACGCCCTGGCTCAACATGGCAGAGAGCTCTGCCATCTCCAAGAAGAGGAGCAAGCTTGGTCCAATTTCTAAAGGGCAAGATTTTCAAAATCCCCGAGTGACACGGCTCTTGGATGGAGCCTGGGCTCCCGTGGAGGCTCTGCGGTGTACAGCCCCCCAGCCACACACGGGGGAGCATCTTCTCATCAAAGTGCAAGGGGAAAGATGTGAAACATGAATGAAGATGTCATTTTTTTTGAACGGGAGACAGGGCAAATCAAGCACAGTAAGACCCAGGTGACTTGTGCTTGTGCTGGAATAGCTGTTTTGCGAGCTGGCTGCTGGGATAACATCTCGGACTGCGAATGAAGCAGGGGGGAGCAGTAAGGGAGGGAACAGTCCTGTATCCATGAGGGAAAATGCACTCACCTTCATCATCTGAAAAAGAGAGAGAGAGAGAGAAAGGTTACATGTCATAAGAATTAATTCCAGTTGCAAGTAGCAGTGAGAGCTGGCAAACTGCTCCAACAAGGGAACACGTGGCTTCAGCAGTGCTTAAAATGGTTCTGCAGGAGCCTGAGGTTATCACCAGCTGCTGCAGTGAAGACACAAGACGAGCAGAGCGGTTTTACACCTGCTGCCTCCTGGCAGCGCTACGGCCCTTTGCAGGTGACTGCTGGTGGACCCGTAGAGACCTGCTTTCCTTCCTGCAGCCTCCCTGCCATAGACCGTCTGCAGACCCTTGAGCACGTGACTCAGGCACCTATGCAGAGCCCGTCTCCTGTGGGTTAAGCAGTCCCAACCGCCGAGTGCCAAATTAGGCCCTCGCTTAAGATGCCTCTGTCACCTGATCTGCAAAACAGGACTCTCTGGCCTTCCCTCTCATCTGAATGCTGCAGCATTTCAGTCACTCCTCATCCGGGACACCAGCCCCATCAGAGAAAGCCCTGCTACCCAATGGCTCATCATAGATTTCATCCCTCTCCTCTGCTCTTTCTGCACCTTTTGTTTTATGTCAGGGACTAATCCAAAAAAAACCCACCATGGAAGATTTTGCCCACAGAATTTGGGTTCTGCTGAATCAAGCAGCCAGCTGTCATACAGCCCACCTGCTTTTCTTTGGACAATCTCACCCGTGTTAACAGTCAGAACAGATGTGTCGTCAGCTGCAGTGGGCAGTTCGTTAAGGATTCGGTGCCAGCACACACACCAGGGTTCGGGTTCAGAGGGCGGGACAGAGCAGTGTGTCCCAGAACGCAAGACACGGGACAGGGCATCAGAGACCTGAGGGCTAACCCCATGGCACTCCTCGGTGACCTGCAGCAAGTCACTTCACCTCTATGTTCCCTCCTTCTCAGCTATCCAGACTGACGCTTGAAAGCCAAACCTCCCTTCACTGGTTGTCACCATACAGCAAACCCTCCTAGTCTTCGCAGTATCAAATCTCAGATGTTACACACCAAGATGTGCTTCATCATGCCTTTTTACTGCACGCCCAATAACGAGCTAAAACATCCCTCTCCTTGCGTATGAAAACCAGTATATTTAGCATTCGTCATGAAGGCAATTAAAATCCACTGGCTGCAAAGGAGCTAGCCAGATGAACAAATGACTCACCTCTTCCAGACGCCAGAGGCCTTTTTACAGTCTGAGGCCTAAGAGAGAAAAATAATTTAAATAGGCGGTATAAATATGTATGTAATAAATAATCTCTTTGCTCTGTAATAATGTTTTATGAGTTCACGGAGGGCAAGTCGCCTGGAGAAGTTTAGAATTACTTTGCTGCCCAACCTCATTTAAAAAGGTGACCTGTAATATGGAAAAATGGAGTCGTGCCAGTTTTTGGTTTTCGTTTCGATGTAGTGAAAAAGGCAGCTTTGTAAAGTACTTTGAAGGCTAAAGATTAAAAGTACAATGCAAGTGGTAGGTGGCATCATTTGTGGTGTCATGTGTGTTCATGGCAAAGTTTGAACAGGAAAAGACATTGCACAGTAGCCTGGAAGTCAAGAGGGCCAAAAGGATACCACTGACTGTCAACAGATGCATTGTCCAATCACCCCCCACCATCCAAATTAAGAACTAGCTTAGAATCTGTAGGGGGAGTTTTCATCCCATCAGACCTATCGCTAACGAGCAGCACTTGCAAAATTAGTCTCTCAAGCCCTCCACGTACTTGAAACAGTTTTCCTCGTAAATGCTGTTCCAAATCTTCCAGGCATCCGGCCCTTTGTAGCCAGTGTAGCGTTCAGGATTCAAGAGTAAATCTACATACTCAGCATCAGGAGACTGGATGTCTGGGAAGCAAAGTTCTCAGTTAATGACAGAAGCAAACGAAGAAACATCACGCGCTCAGGGGCAAGCGCTGCTCCCTTACAACCAGTGAACACCACCGCGCTCCTTGAACAACCTCCTTGACATTGAAACCACAGGGAAAATGCGGTCTGAGAAAAGGGTCCAGAACCTGACTCTTAAACAACATTTCCATTTAGTTTCCATTTTTAACAAAGATCAACATTGCAAACCCCTTTAAATGTGTGCATGGGCACACAGGTTTTAAGATGTTTCTGGAGAGGTAACGACTCCTGTAATGAAACAGAAAAAGAAGTGTGCTCATGTCACTAAAGACAGAATTGCACTGTGTTGCTCCCACACAGGCCAGTTCTAGCCAGATGCAATTTCCCATCACTCAGTACTGCTACAGACAAATATTTTCAGTGCTAAAAGGAAAAGCAGTCACAGAATCATAGAAAATGAGGGTTGGCAGGGACCTCAGGAGATCATCTAGTCCAGAGGCTCCCAAGCCCCGGGCCATGACCCAGTACTGGTCTGCAGGAGATTCGGCTGCCGCATCGGCAGTCTGGAAGTGACCGGCATACTGCAGACTGGCAGCCACCCCTTTTTTATACTGAGTATAAAAAAGGGTTGGCTGCCAGTCCACAGTATGCCGGTCACTTCCAGTCTGCGGTATGCTGGTCTGTAGCTGGCCAGTCCGCGGTCTAAAAAGGCTGGGAACCACTGAAGTCCAACAAGTCCGTCTTGTTCCAACTATTACATAGCCAAGGATCAGGAAAAGTCATGCTTTACCCTCTACAGAAGCTCCTCCAAAGGATTGCTTTGCTTGCATTTTTTTTTTAAAGATTTAAACATACATGGTAGCGTGTCATGCACTAGCCTAAATTTCTATAAAGATGTTAAGCCTTTGTAATCGGCTTAAGTATTGTTACATCACTGGCGTATTGTTACAAAACCATTGACGTAAGGGCAGGTCCTTATACCATCAGCTTCGCAAAAGCTGTCCGAAGAGTCATCATGCTGGGTCCACTGGAGCATAGCCTTCTGGGCTTCCTCACTGCAAGGGATAAAGCAGCACCATTTTAGAGCGAGTCAGGAGTAACTTTTCTTCGAGACAATCTTAACTTTAATGCCTTGAAGCTGCAGCAAAGGAGGTTTTGATTGGGTATCAGGGAAAACTTCTTCAGTGCTAGCAGAGCGAGGCAGTGGAACGGATGCCTGGGGAAGTTATGGACTCTTCATCACTGGAGGTGTCCGAGGAGAGGCTGGACAGCCACTGCCTAGGCATAGCCCTGCCTGTATTTTACTCTGGATATTTCCCATACTTCTGGGCTTTGCTGGTTGCCACATGGGGCTTAGAGGGATTTTTTCCCCCTCCTGCTGCTACATGTTTTGGGATTTTTTTTTTTTAAAGCATACCTCAGGGGCATTGGGTGTTGGCTGCAATCAAGGCTGGGAATTTTGACTGAGCTGTGCCAATGCTCCCGCTTTCCAGGGACTTAAACCTGGAGGCTCCTAGCTAGAAGGTCTTGCCCCTCCACTCAGGGTCAGATCAATGCCGTATTTGAGGTCAGGAAGGAATTGGACCCCGTAGTCAGACTGGTACAGACTGGGGGGATTTTTGCCTTCCTCTGTAGCAGGTGGCACAGCCTCCGCCTGGGATCTCTTGAGCGTATTTTAACAAGGTCTGCAGCAGCCACTGTGGTCCCCTTGCTTTAATTATGGCAGATTAGGGTGTTATGTCTTGCACTGTGTCAGGACTGACTGTGTGGTTTTGCTAGGAGATTAGACAATCACAGAATCATAGATAATGAGGGTGTGAAGGGACCTCAGGAGGTCACATCTAGTCCAACCCCTGCTCCAAGCAGGACCAGCCCCAACTACATCATCCCAGCCAAGGCTTCGTCTAGCTGGGTCTTGAAAACCCCCAAGGATGGAGATTGCACCACCTTGCTGCAACTGGAGCCCATTGCTCCTTGTCCTGTCATCTGCCCCCACTGAGGACAGTCCAGCTCCATCCTCTTTGCAACCTCCCTGCAGGGAGTTGAAGGCTGCTATTAAATCCCCCTTGGTCTTCTCTGATGCACAATAGATTGGTATAGAAGGGTATGGACATGACTGATCCTGCCTCAGGCAGGGGGTCAGTCTAGATATGACCTCTTGAGGTCCGTTCCAGCCCTACATCTCTATGACTCTATAATTTATGGAAGGGGAAAGAAAACTATACCTCAAAGATCTATTAACAGCCCCAAGTCGTTGAGCTTCTTCACATTCTCCAGCAAGGTTATGAGCTTCTTCCGAATACTAGGGTGCAAAGGGAGAGGAGGGGAAAAAAGCCATTTATTTAATTTGGAAGTCTGCAGAAAGGATTGCATAGCATTTCCAAAGATACTGGTTACTTGGGACTCACCATTCAACCTTAACCCATAGTTCTGCGCAAGAGCGAGAATATTAATCTTTGTGGATGATTCACTAATGAAAAAAAGAATCCCCCAAATTCCCTCCTGGCAGGGGAGGGCCATCTGCTACAACCATTTCTGCATGTGCCAGACCTTTAAAAAGGGACAATATTCTAAATAGCAACTGTCAGGAGAAGCAGGGCATTTGGGGTTTGGGGTCACTGGGTATCACTCTGATTCGTGGCAATAAGCAGAGCAGGCTGTACCATCCAGGCAACACGTACCTTATGGCTGGCAGATCTAATTCCATCAGGAACTTCATCCTGAAACACAAGGATAAAGCTGAGACATTTTTCACTGTGAAATCATGCAGTTTTTTTTTTATTTTAGTCTATGAAAACATTAGGAAACATTTAGAAAACTTTAAAGGGGAAGCACAGGTTTCTGTTCAGATATGGACTGTTGGCTCTTCCCATGTATTATTAAGCAATAACCTTCAGGCCTACTTTTCATTTATACTGCACTGGTCTAATGGAGTAGAAGGGCTTTAGGGCACAAGAATGAGGCCCATCTGTAAGAAGAGAATAAAAATACTTCTTATTCAGGTACTTAGGTGCTGAGGGCCGTAGAAAAGCCAACAGGCAAATATCCATGTTGCCTTCAAGGTGAATTGATCCAAGTCAAAGTGCCTAAAATCTATTATTTAAATTGTATTTTAAACCAGAAAGGGAGAAATCTCTATTTAAATGATCAATTTAACCTGGGTTTGAATTCATTTTTAAGGGTTTTTTTCACCCTAAGAAAGGTGAGTAACAATTAAAACACTGATTTGCAATTAAATATGGGTGTAACACTAGATGCTTCTTTTTGGTAAGTAGGAGGATTCACTCCCACATATTTTACATTTTATTTACACAATTATATAACTTAACATATACGATTTTTTTCAGATTCTCAATTTTTACATTTTTATGGCATCAGAAAATGGTGAATGCCTTTTTAATTAACAATTCATTTATTTACTTGGGCATTGTTTCAAGCTGTATTGAGAAAGGAATGGGAATGCAGTTAAAAATGCACAAAAATGACTTGTTAAGATAGTTTAATTAAGAAAACCTTATAATTGCTGGATATGGAAGCAAAGAATAAACCAGATTTGCTAAACACGGCGAGTATGATTTGTAGTTACTGAACTGAGTGTTTCGGATCATCGTATTCAACTTTTGGAACCAGTTAGTTTCATCCTCAATATTCTTTTCTAATCCATGAATAAAAATAAGGAAAGACAAATCATGATTTTGTCACTGAACAGACTAGTCACTGAAGGGAACTAGTCAGATAAACTGAAAACAAGAAACGTATTCTCTCGGGGCTCTGTTACAGCTCTCCGAGGCCGATTCCACACTTCATGTAACTCTGAAGTACCATGTCCACTGCCAGTGACCCCCGCTTAGTTAATGGGGGTGATTTTCTTTACAAAACTGTTCAATTCTTTTTTTAATTTAATGTAATCTATTTTGCCAAAGTGCAGTTAGTTTGTATCTTAACACAGGCTGTACTACACCTGTATATAATTAAATGTGAAATTAGTTTAAAAAAAGAAAAATATGTTTAAATTGAAAAAGTGGATTTTTAATTTTTAGATAATGATACTTGTTACCACTGTGATTGCCTTTTGGGAAGGTAGGAATACAGCCGAACCTAGTGACCAGGTAGGAGAAAGGAAAAGGTAGCAGAACACCCAGAACGCAGAAGCAAGTCATACTTCTGTCTCTAGGTCAATTGTTTCTAGTGGTCTAACTCAAACCTTTCCACACCATATGTGAGAAGGTACAACATGGTTATCCCAGGAAGAAATGTCACTTCTTCTTCTAAGAAAGATGACTGAAATGCACAGCATGCTTTCTAATTATATAGGAAAATAAAATAAACAAATGGGCGCATCTACACGTGCATTAACACGCTTTCGTTAATGCATATTAAATTTAGTACCTCCCGGCATTTATACATGTGCACTGGGAGTGGCGGGGAGGGGGGCAGGGGGCGCACTGTAATTAGGGCAGCTCCAAGAGCTGCTCTAGTTAAAGCGTCTGGAGTATCTCGTGTATCAGCATCCCTGCACTTCAAAATGGCTATAAGCTTGTTGAATGAGCTGTAGATAAAGTGCCCCGCCACCAGTCTGAAGCGCAAGGATGCTGATACATGAGACGCGGGAGCCCGCCGGAGCGCGGTAATGACCACACTCCAGCAGATGCGATTAATCAAGTCTGCTCTGACGTGCTGGAATTGTACAAGCCTCCCTGCTCGTGTCCAGGCACCCTCCGTTGTCAGGTACCAGGCAAATGCACACTAGCCTGCCTTAATGCCCATTAACTAAAGGGCCTGGTTTTTAAGTGCTGCTGAATGCGCAGTTGCTTATTTTAATGCACATTAATTAAATAGCATGATTTTTTTCAGCGATGCTTTAATATACATTAAAGTAGGCTTCCAGTACTGCTGTGCACCTATGAGCCTATACGTTTTTGTACACTGCAGGGACCAGGAATGCTGACGGTTGTGCTTGATTTCTGTCTGTGTCTTTCCTCTTGTCCTCTAAAAATCATCTAGAGAACAAGAAACAGGTCAGTGAAAGGCTCTTTGTACTTACAGACTCGCAAGGCTTTACTGCACAGTCCCTTATTCCACAGTGACTGTTGTCTGTCCAGAAAGGGCACGGCTTCTTTAGGTTGACCTGCAAAGGAAACATTGAACTGGCCATTACACACGTCCCCAGAGCCAGGCCAGGTCTCTGAGCAGCAACCTAATGTGAGAACCCTGGTCATCTTGGGAGTAGATGCGACTGCTAACTGCTTTAAATGGATCTTCTTTAGGCTGAGATTCACCTCTGTGCCCAGGCTCGAGCCTACACCTCCTCTTCCGAGAGCTCCTAGGATGCGGAGCCCATTGTGATGGCTCTCTGGCTAGGGATGAACTTTACTCCGGGGGAAAGCCTTCTAGAGGAAAAGTGTTAACCCCCCGCACAATGTTCTTGGTCATGACAACCTGGGCAAAAGTCACCAGAACCACAGTTCTGCAAACCAGCCTGAATTTGACCAGCGGGCTGAAGGTTTCAGGGGCATCACTGGGTTTTCCTAACCAAAGTAAAATCTCATGTTTATGGCCTGTCTAATGTGCAACAGAGCCTCAAGTGACTCCTCTAAGAGCCCTTACTCTGACTCAAAACACCGCCATCCAAGTAGGACTCTTAACACAGTCCTAGCATTTAACCATCTCATTAGAAAGGACAGCACTGGACAAAACGGCCTAATACTCATCCACCAAATGAGACTGCACTGCCCTGGTTGAATGCAGAATCCTAGATTGAACCTTCATCCCAGAATGAAGCTGGGATCCTATGACCCCAGCTGACTTCCTGCCCTTTGGGCGGGGGGCTGGACTCGATGATCTTCCGAGGTCCCTTCCAGCCCTGATGTCTATGAAATCTATAGAACTGGGCCATCTCTGCTGGAGAAGAGAGAAAGGCTCTCTCTCATATCCGTGCAATCCCAGCACTTCCAAAGAGGTTTCATGAATACAAATGTTGGAAGAATTTGCTCCGAAAAAATAAGTTTACTAAAGCTGTCAATTAGTGAGGGCTGACAGGCTGCTTATACACATGCTCCGGGCTGGGGAGGGGCTGTTTTAATCAGTGTGGTTCCCTGACAGCCACTCTAATTAAAACAGCTCACCATCACATGTATTAAGCACCCTGCCCCCCATGTTTTAAAATGAGGACAGCAACTAAAGCTCATTCAAGGAGGCTTACTTAAAGCACCACTGTGGTCATTTTAATGGGAGTGGGGGCACTTAATACATGCAATGGCGAAGCGATTTGCTCGCGTTCTAATTAGAACATGGAACAGACTCAATTAATTGAGTCTGCTCATTCGAGTTCTCATTAGCACATCTACAGGCAGTCATAGTGACCAGCTCACTGGGTCACGTTCACAGCTCTTTGGGAATCCGGCAGACTCTTTAGGAAACACAGATTCTTTTATCCCGCTTTTACCACAACAGATTAGATTTGCAAGCCTGGCTTAGCCACAAAAAAAATCTTCTTGCTTTGTCCAAGACCTTAAGAAAACAATAAAACACTTAAAAATTAATCTACGGCCTCTGGGGAGTCTATTTGAAAACCAGGGGGCTTCAAATTAAGACTCCCCTGTGAAAATAAAACGTAGAATTGCTGAACACACTCATAAAATTGAAAAAGACTGGATGCAAGAATGCCTGAATTATAAAGACAGGGCAGTGGCAGTGCCTTGGTCCCTCTGTTTTACCTGTGACAATTTAAAGGATGCCTTTGACATTTCAGCCATTGCACCTGGTAGTTGTGTCTGAGGGCAGTTCAAAAGCTTTTAAGCACAGGTTTGGCAAACACTGGTCTAGGATGGGAAAGACCAGGGTGATCTAGATGGCCTCCTGAGGTGCCTTCCAGCCCTGGTTTTCCATGAGTCTCACTTGCAGGGATAATTTTAAAACAGCCCCACACACCACTTCTCTTGTTCTAATGTATTTCTGGCAATGAATAAATTTGTCTATGAAAAATACCTTGTAGTATTTAAAGTACTCGCTTTCCAGAAGCTCGTTCAGTCGAGGAAAAAGCTTGTAGTTGTTAAAAGCATCAATGGTTTCAACATCACAGGTGCAATCATCTAAGGAGCCAGTGACCTGTTGAATAAAACAAGATTATATGAGCAAAGTACAGGATCTTTTCAAAAACCATGCGCAGAATCTTAATAGGGAATCGTAGTCCAAAGTTTCTACCCCCTTTTCCAGCAAGGCCACCTATTAAGTTTAGGCAGAAGGCAAGGCAGGGTGGCACCTTAGAAATTAACTGATTAAGTTAGTTAAGTTTAACTGAATTAACCAGCATTAAACCCTGCTGTACTGTTCCTTCAACACATCACTGATGTCCTGCCTCGCTCCTGCAGCTGTATAGCTTGGGGACTACACATCTGCTTGGAAGCATCCCCGGCCCAAAAACTATTCCTGTCTGTAGAAGAGCTGACATTTCACGAATGCTTCACTTTTATTTAACTGTACGTTCTCACTAAACCTTTGAATCAAGTTTTTTATGCGCATACTATTGTCTTATCTCTCTAACAAAACACAAAACATAAATGCATTCCCTTTGTTACTTAGCACTTATATGTATTTATATAAATATAAGGTATGTATAAATATATCAAATGTAGTTTATATACACACGACACACGTTATATATATGTGCGCGTATCTATATTATACACACATTGTACATATGTATTGCGTGTGTATACATTTTTAGTCTATAAAATGCTAAGTAGCAAAGTCAGTGTATTTGTTTAATACAGTGATAGGACATTAGTGCGTACATAACAAAAATTGGTTCAAAGGTTAATTGAGAGCCTACGTATAAATACAAGGGGAAGCAGTCATGAAATGTCAGCTATTCAACAAACGCAATTGTTTTTGGAACAAGGGGGAGGAATCCAACAAGGTAAAGCTGAGAACAGGAAGTAAGAGAATCGTAGCAGGTGATTGTCTGGATCCTTAGATGACAGCTGTCTCGGTTGTATTTCAGTCTTGGCAGAAAAGGCGCAGAAGGCAGGGTGGGGCTGCACCTTTATAGACTAACCAAATAAGACATATAGAGAGAGCCCAAGCTATTGAGAACCCGAGTTCACTTCATCAGATGCTGCAAAAAGGACAAGGTGTATAAAGTGGAGCGAGTGACTACAATATAACAGGAGGGAGATGGAGGGGGGCTGCTGTGAGAGGTATACAAACACAGAACCCAGAGAAACAAGGAAAAGGCCCAGTCATTCGGAGGAAGCCGGGTGTTAGGGTGGATTAAGCAATAACAGCATCACCCTTGGACCTCCCAACAGTTAAAACAAGGTTTCATCATCTCAAGCAACACTTCTGCAGCTCTTTAGTCGATTGAATCAGAATCAGACTCTCTACTAGCCTCAGAGGTCAATCTGGCAGCACAGCCCTCAGCTCAAAGCCGGCACTGCTTGCATCAGTCCAAAGCAACAGCAAGGTGGGAGATATTTAAAAGCAGCCGTGGCTGTGGTCTGCCCACATGTACACTGCCAGCTCCACGGGGAAGTTGCACAATGCCAGAGACGAGTAAATAGCGAGACAGGCACTTCCCCCTCCAAAGAGCCTCACAAACACATCTCAGGAGCTGTCCCCGGGCACTCGGCCCTTTACATCTTGCTGTCCGGGACAGTGGATTTGGACAGGACAGTGCAACCTGTGGCAGTTCGGCATCCTCCAGTGTGAAGGGCTGTTACAGTTTTGGCTGGTTCAAGGACTTACAGCCCAGATAAACGGCCGTGATCCACACTGCCAGTTTACAAAGCAAATATCCAGGTGATGCTTGCTAATGTGTTATTAGAGACTCTTCCCTTTGCCCTTCACCTTTCACCAAAAGGCTGCAAATCCCCAGTGGTACCGATTCACATGCAGTGCGCTTTGTCTGGTGCCACACTCCCAGGTCCTGCTCTCCTGTCCGCTCCCCCAGGAGTGCCGCAGGCAAAGGAGAAGACAAAGAGAAGCGGAAAATCTCTACAGACCGTCACCGTCAGCAGCGACTGCTGTGCCTTGTTGCGCTGAGGTTCAAGCGACTGCCAGCCGGTGACACAAAGCATGGCACAATGAAGAGGGGAAGATCTATAGCAGTGGTCCTCAGTCTTTGTGGGCTTGAGACACCCCTTAACAGACTCGAGGCTTCCCTTGGAAAATGCCAGCTCTTAATTTTCCCCTTTTGGGACCATCACAAACCTCCTCCGTGTGTTGCACTCCAAGTGCCAGCTGCATTCTCTGCCCTGCCTTCTCCAACAACTGCAACACAACGCCAGCTCATTTGAAAAATCATCCTGGGGAAGGGGAAAGCACAACAGAAGAGACTATGCCTGAGGGATGCAGGCCGTCTACTACAGAAAGGATGTGGACAAATTGGAGAGTCCGTGGAGGAAACAAAAATGGTCGGGTGGCTGGGACATCTGATGGATGAGGAGAGGCTGAGGGAGCTGGGTTATTGAGTCTGCAGAAGAGAAGACCGAGGGGGATTGAATAGCAGCCTTCATCTCCCCGCAGGGGGGCTGCAAAGAGGATGGAGCCGGGCTGTTCTCGGTGGGGGCAGATGGCAGGACAAGGAGCAATGGGTTCAAGCTGCAGCAAGGGAAGTTGAGGTTGGATATTAAGAAAAACTCTCACTAGGGGAGTGGTAAAACACTGGAACAGGTAACTCAGTGAGGTTTCAGTCTCCATCCTTGGAGGTTTTTAAGACCCAGCTCAACAAAGCCTTGGCTGGGATGATGTAGTTGGGGCTGGTCCTGCTTTAAGCAGGAGGTTGGACTAGATGTGACCTCCTGAGGTCCCTTCCACCCTCATTGTCTATGAGGTCCCTACCAACCTTTCTCTTTTCCAGACTAAATAAGCCCAGTTCCCTCAGCCTCTCCTCATAAGTCACATCCCCCAGCTCCTGAACCATTTTCTTTGCCCTCCAATTGGACTCTCTCCAATTGCCCACATCCCTTCTGTAGTGGGGGGGCAAAACTGTCTCACTAGGAGGGTTGCAAAGAACTGGAACAGGTTACTCAACAAGGTTTCGGCATCCTTGGAGGTTTTTAAGGCCCAGCTCAACAAAGCCTTCTAGGAAGCACTTGGGTAACATGCCTTGCACAATATCAAACAAAACAGCTGGAGATGCCAGTGGCTCGGATGAACTCTCCTCACTCTCTTCCTCTGCCCTCCAAACGGCAGGAAAGGCACAAAACACGTCCTTCTGGGATACAAGGTTAAACAGGACAGGGGGAAATTCCTGGAGCCCTTGGCCAACAGTCTTGGCCAGGCCCTGGTCATGCCTGAGGAAGGAGCCACGTTTACAACAAGTGCATTGTGTCTCACGACTTTGGAAATTGCTTTTCTCACAGTGACTATCGAGACAGCTCAACACAATCTAGGCTTGCTGAGCTGGAGAGCAGGGGGAAGGCAGCAAGAGCCCTTGAAAAGCACCTTTCTTCATCCAGAAGGCAGAGCAGGGATGCCCCTTACAGACTTGCTGCAGCAGAGATGCAGAAACTTGGGTGAATCCCAGCTCACTTCATCAGCTGCTATTTTTTGGTTACAAAACTGCAGCTCTTGCCCCAGGTTTTGCATTCATTTCTGAAGCTTCTCATTCCACTACCGGATTTGTGTCGCATGTAGCAGGGGGTGGCCTCATGGCACCACAAAGGGAAACCACAGGCACCGGTAGTTTGCATGGCAAGCAAGCACAGAAGTAACAGCACAGCACTCAAGCTTATCAGGCCATCTTACTTGGTCTTAAAAATCATTAACCTGCTCATCCACTTCCCCAGACTGGTCCCATTTGCATTTCAAAATCTTCACATGCTGCTTCCTTGGAAATGACATATGCTTCAGCCAAGGGAGGGGATGTCTCAGCTGTCTGCTCAGAGAAAAAGCTGGATAAAGAGAGCAGCGTAGGCGCCTTTCTAAGGGCATTCTGGTCTCACTGGCATCCTTGTAAGATATCACATCTGCATATCAGTGATATGCATCCAAGCAGCATCCGCACCTAATATTGTTTGTATTAAACTTCCTTTCAGCCGCTCTAAACACCAGTTCAGTCTGACCCATTTTAGTCAACAACGTGGCTGGTGCTGAACCGGTCCCTTTGGGCATGGGCGACCTTCTGAAATTTCCCGGAAGCCACGGAGCGAAGCAGTATGGATACCTACTGCAACTCAGTTCAGAATAGCATTAGGGCAAAGCTGGGCCATGCAGCAGTGCACAACGTGTTGGCAGGGGTTGTGTAGGCACATGGAGTCCTACAGCCAAATTCTGGATCAAGTCAACTGGATCAAGTCAATGGCTGGATGTCTAGTTGGCCGTTGGTATCAAGCGGTGTGCCCCAGGGGTCGGTACCGGGGCCAGTTTTGTTCAATATCTTCACCAATGACCTGGAAGATGGCATGGAGTGCACCCTCAGCAGGTCTGCAGATGACACCAAGCAGGCAGGAGTTATAGATATACTGGAGGGTGGGGCTAGGATTCAGAGACCTCGACAAACTGGAGGATGGGGCCAAAAGACATCTCATGAGGTTCAATAAGGATAAGTGCAAAGTCCTGCACTTAGGACGGAGCAATCCCATGCAGCGGTGCAGGCTGGGGGCCAACCAGCTGGGCAGCAGCTCTGCAGAAAAGGACCTGGGGGGACAGCGGACAAGAAGCTGAACAGGAGCCAGCAGTGTGCCCTTGTGAAGAAGGCTAACAGCATCCTGGGCTGCATTGCCAGCAGATCGAGGGCACCAATTCTTCCCCTCTATTCGGCACATCTGGAGTCCTGTGTCCAGTTTTGGCCCCCCACTACAGAAGGGATGTGGACACGTTGGAAAGTGTCAGCGGAGGGCAATGAAAACGGTTGGGGAGCTGGGGGATATGACTGGTGAGAAAAGACTGAGGGAAATGGGCTGATTTAGTCTGCAGAAGAGAAGACCGAGGGGGATTGAATAGCAACCTTCAACTCCCTGCAGGGGGGCTGCAAAGAGGATGGAGCTGGACTGTTCTCAGTGGGGACAGATGACAAAACAAGGAGCAATGGGCTCAAGCTGCAGCAAGGGAAGCTGAGGTTAGATATGAGGAAAAACTTTCCCACGAGGAGGGTGGTGAAGCAG